AATTACCTCACGAATAAGCTCTTTAACAGTAGCATTATTAAAATCATGAAATGATTTTAATGCGAAATGTTCATTCAGATTTTTCCAAATTGCGCGATATACTTTTCCGAAGCCGCCTGTACCTATCTTTTGAAAATTTCTAAAATGTTTATAATCATATAGCTTAATATTATTTTTATTAATATATTCTTCAATTAGATTAATACACTCATTTGAATTACTGTCATTTTGCATTGTGTTTAATAACAAGAGAAGTGATAAAATTTGGAAAAAAAGAAAGTAGATCTACCATTTAAATGTATTTCGATGATCGACGAAAAAGTAACACAATTCGCAAGTAGTTACACATCACATTTACACAATTTACTGTATTTGAGAAATTAATGATACACAATTCGCGCTTCGATTTGCTCATATCAAAGTACGGGAGTATTCTTTAATTTCAAAAGAGCTTATATTACTACTAATCTAATATCCAATTTTCGATAAATCGACATTTCATATAGCATAAGACCGATCATAGGATGACGATAGTATCTAATTTATAAAAAAAACGAGAGCATTCTTTGATAAATAAATTTATACAATCATTTTCGAAGATCTTCCATTATTTTTTTAAAAACAGACTAATCAAGTTCTAATCGCAACCGAGCTAATACATAAATCATAATAAACTTGCGCTTGTATTAAATATTCAGTAATAGCTGTATTTTCCGTCTGTGATCACATCAAAGCTAGTGCCAATAAACTAACTTAACTAGTTTCAGTAGAAAAATTAATAAAAAAAAATTGAAGTAAAGTTTTGTGAAAAACTCGTAAAGTAATTGAACATGAATAACTAAATCGGTCGAAGACTAATATAGATATGTTCAATGACTTTAAAATGGTCTGATTATTAATTATAACAGTTTTCTACTTGCATGCATCTAGATCTTTTTTCTTTTAAGTTAGTTAATTTTCGTAAAAATTAATTATTTCTTGGGAGTTTTTAAATAATTATTTTTTGAATTATTTTTGATTTTTGACTGCAGTGATCACCTGATTTGGTTGACAAATATGTTAACTTTAGTTTTATAATTTTTGATAGATTCATTTAAATATTTATTTTATTATATTTATTACATTAGTTGTATTTATTATGTATATTATTATATTATTATTAGTTTATTTTATAAAAATATCATGTATTTCCCTTGAGTTGAAAGATAACTCGAGATAGGGTTTTGTGTTCAATAAAGATAATTGTTATTCATTTGCTATTACCTATTACCATCTATGTCTTCATGCATGCATGAATGTGATAAATTTTTGTAACAATTTGAAGCACAAGATTAAATTACATGATTATTCTTTACAGAAATCCAGATAACAATACCCTGCTATCAAATAAATATGTTTTATATATATATTAAAATTTTATAGCAATATAAATTTTAAAGGTTATACATAATAATACACATATTCAGTATTATTTTATTTTACATGCATAAATCATAAGAAGAAAAATATTCATACAGTATATAGGATAAAAAGGTAGGTCTGGGACAAAATTCCAAATAGTATTCAGAAAGATTCCTGCTTGTCTACGAATCAATTTTAGATATATGAATCAATTATTAAATTCAATCCTCTAGCGTGATTTGACTTAAATCTAAATGATTATATTGAACTTGACTAGAAATTAGCCTATTTGATACCAAGAATTTCACTGTTTGATATAACCATTCTAGCCTAATTTTAATCACAAAATAACATATTAAAAAATTTTTACTATTCTGTTTGCCACATGAGTGATCATTGAAAATCAAAGAACAAAGTGACACAATTTGAGCTGGGCCTGACATTGCAAACCCAAAATAAATAATAACTTTTATGCTATTCTGCTTGTATCTGGAGGGGTTATCGAAAATTAATGAACAAAGTGACGCAATTTGAGCTGAACCTGATTATGCAAGCATAAAATGCATACTATATGATAAGTTTCACCTCTAAGTCGCATCTCTAAAGGATAATAAATTTGTAAACTAAAAGTTTATTGAATATGTTCTAGCATGCTAACAATTTCTCAATATATAGAAAACCTTTCAAACTCATTTTCTTTACAAAATTCGAAAACAAAAAAATTACGCAACTAAGGTATATATATGTTAAATCTCACATCTAAGTTGCACCTTTTATCAAGTCTAATCTTTGAGTCTTATCCCACAATTTATTATAATATTATATCACATAAATCCTCTAATATGTTCAGAATACCATCTACAAATTGTAACAGTAAGTTTATTATAATCAGTACAAGAATAGCACTTTCTAGTCTTTCAATATTGCCAACATTATTCAAATCGAATGCAAGCTTTATCACAAGCCTTGTCAGAGTTATGATTATAATTGCAAGTATAAGATGCCATCATTTACAATAAGGATGAAAAAATTTAATTAAACAAAATTATCAACAATATAGAAAAATTAACGGCAGATATACCTTCTTATATAATGAGTACACAAATTCAATTATCAGATACTAAGCACGCATACTAGAAAGTAAAGCAGGCATTAGTAAATGTAGTCAAGGCTAGCATTTATTATAGACAACCAAAGGATGATAAATTCATGTAATCATATAAAAAAAATCAAAAAATTACGCCAGACAGAGGATTCTCAAGAATATATTTTCAAACTAGCCATAACCATATTCTCTAATAAAGTTAAATATCATAAAGTTAAAGATGACTACAAAGAATACTATGAACGAGATCCAAAGATTCTTAATGCTATCATAGAACTATATAAATTATACTATAAATTAGCTAAGAATTATTTTATTACTGATAAACAAGTTAATGAAAAGACAGAAGATTTCCTATCGTCACTTTAGAAATTTAATTCATAAGCATACATTGGGAAAGCAATTCAGTATCATAAGAAATAATCGTCAATTCTTCTCGAACAAAAGATCTTTCAAGACGTTTAAGAATAACTGAAGTTAAAATTCCCTGCTTATCTTTGACACTATATACACTAATAGGAATAAACACTCTATATCTCAAAGTTATATCTATCACAGTAAGACAAAAAAGATAGGTAATTTGACCTACTTTATCATAAGATATGTAGAAAATATCTGCCTGGTAAACTTTATTAGAAGTAGTAATAGAACAAAAACTTGCTCGAGAAATATATCTAGGATGAGATTTATGTATCTGATGTACAACCTGTCTTTTGAGCTAATCATGTATATCATTTAAGGTAAAATTGAACCCAGCTTTTTGAGAAGTTTTATGTAATTATTTTGATATCCAATAGACTGATAGTAAATTTTTCGCAAAGTAATATATACATCAAGTTTTTGAGCTTCACTTGAATTTATTTATATAATAAGAATTAATGTCATAGAGTCAGTATACATCAAAATCTTAGATATTAATAAAAGTTACACAAAGAATTAGAAGATGTAATAGCTGAAAATAATCTTAAGATTAAAAAAACTCAAAGCACTTAGCAGAGAATTAGAAATCTGTTATAGAATATTATCTTACAAGGATTCAGCAATATTAGTTAACAAAGGTGAAATAGAATCTTTTAAGTTTAAGATAAAATCTCTTAAACAGTATATTTATAAAGCATTACATGAAAGATAATGCAAGTACTGCTTAAGATATCTATATTTTAAGACTAGAAGACATGGTTAAACAGCTTAAGAAGAGAATTAGGGAGATTACAGATAAATAATTATCCCAAATAAATAGTTCACCAATAACATTACCAGAATTTTTAAGAGATATTGCTACAGATTATGTTGAATTATATATTGATGGAGATAGATCATTTGACCCTAAAAATACCTTGAATTACATTAACAACTATTCATACCCATATGCAAAGGGTAGTAAATGAGGTCTTACATTATCAAGGTTTGCTTATCATGGCTAATAGGTAGGTTAATAACCTTATGAATTATATGGCAAATGTTAGAAATGAATATTTTTGAAGAGCTCAATTATAAACTTTAGCATATAATAATAAAACAAATGAGTTTTTGATATGGTTGCTTAAGACTCAAAGATCAGAAAGGCGTAACCATAATTATTACAAGAAAAGATAGCCTTTCAGTTAATAAATTGAAGGCACAAGGCTAAGGCTGATTTGACAGAATTCAATCAGGTATGAGTATTTAATAGATACCAAAAATGGAAGGCTAGAGAATTAAATTCGTGACAAATTATCTTGAATTTACAAAATAATCCTTTAGGAAATATGGTAGGAATTTAAGATGTTATGAATGTAATAGCTCCCTTATTAGCTAGATAAGAACTATACGTAGGACAAGAAACATCAGATTATTATTTTAATAGATTAACCAAATATTGATTTATGGAGATACATTAGGTGTAGAAGTATTTAAAACTACTATGAAAGTAAACATATTAGCATCCAAAATAGTAAGAAGATTCGTATTCCCAATTCATTCAATAATAGTGCAGAAGTTGCTATTAATACACTTGCATTATTTCAACAATGGCTTTGAGATACATATCAAATAATAATAATAGACGCTAATCAAAATCATTAAAAATGCTTAATTATGAATAATTTAATATTTCAGATTCATCAAAGATTTATGAAAAAAGAATTAAGCCATTTGCATAAGATATACCATTTACAGATGCATTACCATATCTATACAACCGCAAAAAGATTTATTAGCTGAAGGAATTAAAGGACTTGAATTTACAAAGTAAGTGGTAAAGGAATTAGATTATATAGGAATAGCAATAGATGTTGATACTTTATTTTCATATATTTATAATGATTTTACAAGAAGGCTAGACCTAAAACATCAGCATATAATAGAAGAAGTCCCTTTTTAAAATCACAGGTTAAAAATACAAATGTTACAAAGAAAGCTATTAGAAAGGTTGTATAAAAACTAGTAGTTAAATGAATTGTTACCTAGCAAGTTGTTTATCACTACTCAGCCTGTAAGAAGGCTGACCATACAAAGGTTAATTGTTCAGGAGTCAAGCGGACTAAAAAGATTAATCATATATACTAAGAAGGGGTAAAAGATCCTGAAAACTTTGAAAATGAAGAATATAGAGAAGAATACATAGTAGAAGAGGATTCTGAAGAAGAGGAAATTGAAGAGGAAAATGAAGAGAATGATGATGAATCTTCCTTCAATCATAACTGCTATACTGTAAAAAAAAGTGAGGCGAAGTAAAATACCTATGAAAATAGCAACCACGAAGTCCCCTACTTTTAAGTTTCATGCTAAAAATACCAAAGCATCTAGCAATATAGCCATGGCTAAAGACTAAATGTATTAAATAGCCTTAAAATCTATAATATCATCATTAGTCCCCATTATCCTATAGATTCTTATAGAAATTTTGAAATTTATTAATATAATATTTTTCAAATTAAAAGACCATTGCTTGAATACTATTATATCAAATAATACAGTTAAAAGAAGGAAATTAGCATGAGAAAATGTTACAAGCAAAATTCAAGAGGTCTTATTTTCACTATTGCAGGAGTAAATACTGAGCAAAAGCCTCTTTTAGAGCTCCCATCAGAGAAGAATGCAAAGTCTTCAAACAATACCATAAATAATGTAGTAGTTAACAATTCAGAGAATTACTGAGAGATCGCAACTTCCCATATTCTAAACTATGCTATCAAGGCTTAGCCTAGCATCATATAAAGTGCTTTAATGATTCAGTAGAAAAAAAGTAATATGCCAAGTGTCTCCCAGTTAATTCCTATATACTAGCCCAAACTGTTAGAGATAAATTTTTTACAATAAAAGATGCTGATGATGTTGCAACCATCTCCAATATAGTGAAAGGGATAACTATACCCTATACAATGATTGATAGTAAATCTGATTCATCTATAGTCTCAGAAAATGTAGCTAAGCATTTGAATCTAAAAATAGATAAGAAAAAGATTCACAGACTTAATAGAGTCACAAGTAAGTCTCATTCTCTTGATACAGTTAATAGTATTCCTGTAACTATTGAGAATGGGAAAAGTAGAAATACCATTCCATATGAATTTTCTGTTGTTCCTACAGAATATAATAATAATTGAAAAAAATTATCCCTATTTATTCTTGGAACACAGTAGCAATATTGAACTAGTTAGGAACCTCTAGTAAAGGGAGAATTTAAGGCAACCCGAAATAAAAAGACTATCACTATTTTTCTATCTATTCACAAATCCCAGCATAATATTTTTACTGTAATGAAGAAATCAGAACCTATAAAAAAAACTAGAGGATCAGACATGTCAATACTGTAAAAAGGAATTGCAATATCCCTCTATTCTTAAAAGACACTTAAAGTTAAAAATATGTGCAGTAAGCAGATTAGTTTGGCAAGTAATCGGGTTAGTCTAATAAGTGATCAAGTTAGTTTAACAAGTAATTAGGTTAGTCTAATAAGTGAGCAAATTAGCGAAAAAAATACTATATCTATTCAACTATCTTTGGTATGAAGTATTTGGAAGACTTGTATAAACACATGATTAAAAAGTATATTTTTTTCAGATAGTAGGATCATTTGGAGTATTATCACACCATCAATTTCACAAGTCTTAAATATTCTTTTCATAAAAGCTAGTTAGTTCTATAGTTTCATCTATACAGTCAGGATTAATAGAACAGATTCTAATGTTATAGACAATAATTGTTTGGTCTTTAGAATAGATAATATCATTCAATATCTTGATAGTTTTTTTAATCAAAGAAATAGCATATTTAATATCCTTTAATTATTTCTTAGATCGTGAAAGTGATGCAGATAACTTATCAATATCCTTATCTTTCACAGCATTAGTTTTATCCAAAACACAGATATGAGATTTGTATTACCTCTCCAAGTTATAAAATGACCAAGGTTAAGATCGAGCTATTTACAGAAATGGCAATGCATAACTTCATTGAAAAGGCAAAGCGTAGTGGTATTGCTATGGCAGTACATAGACATTTCAAGGCAAATAATCCTAATATGGGAGACGCATTTGATATATCCCAA